TTGTAACTTTTAAACGGTTCAACTACAAACAACTATGAACTACTATAAAAATTATGTCATAAAGGGATTTGTATAAGTATCTTGAAAGTTGGCAAAGTTACGTTTTTATTTATTACATATATGTTGTAACTTTTGAACGGTTCAACTATTAAGATATGTTTATTGTTTTTTCTGTAACTCACAAAGTAATGATAGTCATTTTTTTTAAATTTCTTTTTTATACATTTATTGATCTACAAACGAAATTATTGTTACTACAAACAACTACAAACAAAATACTAACCTTTCTTTATTGTAAATATATTTTAGTAAAAATTGGGTGCTAAATTCACGTAGGTGAATTGAGCGCATAAACGAGTACGGATGATATGAAAGGCGTTTGACTACTTCTCGAAAATAATACTTCGGAAAATAACTTTATCACATATCATTGAATTTGTCTTAAAGTAACCTTAAATTTGGTAGAAAAAAATGCAAAAAATAAAAAAATTTTTGGCAATAGAGGTAAACAAAAAAATAAATAAATAAATTATTTTAAATTATAATTATAAAGTACTCTTAAAGTTATTCAACTTTGGTTCGAACATTTTTTTTCTATCTCTCGTAGTTTTGACGATATTCATTAAAATAAAAAATCCAATTTTTTTTCTAAGGAATGTTTCACCCCTTAAAAGTGCGAACGGGCACGAATATGCGACAACTTAATTCTTGATTTTGTCTGAAGAATAACATATTAAAAACTCATTGAAATCGGAGAGGAACACTTGTATCCCTTTCCTTGTAAGTTCAACGGCTTAAAACTTCAAACATAACTTATTGTAAACAAGATTTTTATTTTTATTGTATTTTTCTATACATTCCTAAAAAATTATACATCAAAAAGGATTTTATACGTTTTCATCTATTTCCATTAGCACCATTAGATAAAAAAATACTACTTCTAGCTTGTTAAAATAATTTTTGATCTAAGTAAATCACTATTTACATTTAAATACAATCTAGAAAAATCTGCAATTTTCTTATAATTTTTTAATTATTTTAGAAATATGCGTAACACATTCTTAAAGATTAATTTAGAATTTTCTATGCCATTTGAGTTATTTATACATATAAAAAATTATAATATAAATGTATAAATACAGAAATAAGTAAAACGTATAAATATTATAATAACATACATTAAGAGACACATAGATATAATGTACAAAAATATTTTTAAAACACTTATTTAATTTATTTGAAATTGTTTCTATTGATTTTGAAATTTTTCAAAGTGTTTAAAAAAGTTTCGTACTATAAATAAGATATAGTAGAAGAATATAATAGATAATATATTTCTCCTGTTTTTGTCCACATATTTTTTTATAATTTTTTAAACAATGAATAAGTTTTTTATTTAATAAATATTCTTAAAAGAATAATTTATTTCTATACAAATTTGTTTTATTTCCTTTTATTGATGAATAATAAAACGCTAACTTTCAGTTTTAATTTTTCTTCTCCATAACAGCAAAAAAACTTAATCTATATAAAAACTTCTCTATGTATTGCCACAATTTCATAATTTTTTGAATTTTGAAGTTGAAGTTCTTTTCTTATGAGTATTAACCTTCAAATGGTATACTTCTTTTGAGCACCCACTAATGGAACAAAGGTACGAATTTGGATTTGATATCTTAAATTGTACATCTGTCCTGAGGAAAAAACAGATATGTTTTGAACATATTTAACGTAGTGGGGATAAGCCGCGACAAATATTTCTGTGCAAATGCCAGCAATTCAAAAATGCTCGCGGTACGAATTCGCACTCTTGTACCATTTGAAGATTAATTCACAGAAAACAAATGTTGGATTTTTATGTAATACCGCGTTCGTATACGCACCTCAGTCGCATCTGCTCTTTAAAAGCGGAAACGATTTTCTCTCTTAACGATTTGAAGTCATTGCCGTGCATATCGTCTGAATTTTTTTTCTCCACTTCCACCCGTTTTGGTCTCTCGTCCTTCATTTTATTTCTTAGGCGCGAAATCTCGCTTTTCAGATCGCTGATTATATCGCGGTACTGTGCGACATGTAAGTAACTGACGTCCAGTACGTTTCGTTCGATCTTATTGGAAATCTTGTTGGCGCGATCCGCGTAAATCAGGGTGTTTTTACTTTCGTCGCGATGTGTACTTGCCGGTGATACATGTGCAATTTTAACAGTGCGGCAATTGCCACTGAGTGCTTCCTTCAACAATCGGGTAAGCTTGGAATCGCGATAATTTACATATCGCGCTCCACCAGATAGGGCATTGATGCAGTTACCCAGCGCCAGAAGGGATCTGTTAATATGCGCGCCTTCCTGCAGTCTTTTACCCTCGTTCTATAACAAATCCAATTAAGTTGACAGAGAAATTCCAATAATTTATATAAGAGAAACGATCAAATTAAAAAAAAACTTTAAAGAGTGATGGCAAAAAGACCTGTTTTTTCGCCCATTTTTTAGATCTCAAATTTCAAACTTTTTTTAATGCCAAATAGTATTATATGATATAACATTAATCCTAGAGAAATTTTAAGATGAGCATAGGCACGGTTCCTGAGATATGAAGGGGTGAATGTGATGGTTTCTCATAATAACCCATGAAAGTACACAAAACTCTTCAAGTGTCCATACCAATTGGAATAAAATATATATTTAACGAAGTTAAATATATATTTAACGAAATATATCGTTTTTTATTAATTTTTTTTATGCCGGATTAAAAAATAGATCGGAAGAGCACACGTCTG